AAATGTGAACCAAGTCAAAGGGTAGTATATTGAGATTCTCTCTAACTTCAGTAAGCTGGATTCTCCTTTATAACAAACTGCTCGATTGATCCGAATTCTGCACAAATAAAAATGAATTTCTTTTTAGTAACATAGTTCCATAAACAAGTTGGACAACCTGTCACCTTCAAACTGCTATCTAGTCTATCTAGTCTACTCTCGTACCAAGATCTAGCAAGATGGCGCCCTATAAGGAGAGGCGATCCGGGTGCAACTTAACTTTCCATACAATATATACGCCTACTGTTTTGAACTTCATAGCCGATTAACCAATTTTCAAGCCTAGGAGGACGTAAAGAGGTCGATAGCTAGAGATGGTACCTAGCGAGGTTTTTACTGGTATGATAACTCATCACAACTTGTTGAGTACCTGAACAAAGAGCCAGTGCGATTTTTAAAGCGTTATCTGTCGGTGACATTTCCCTGAATGACGCGAAACGAAACACATGACTCTCGTCGGAGGCCAAAGCTTTGAGTTCAGCCGCGTCAACCTTGGAACCAATTCCCAATGCAAAGATGACTACCCCATCATCCTTCAGCTGTTTCGACTGTTGTTCATAACCTGCGCAAACAATTTAAAGGATTAGAGACAAGATGGCAAATACGCCCGATTTTATTTTGTTAAAGATACTGTTTAACGTACTGATCAGCTGTCTAATCTATTGGACATAAACATTTTCTCACCCTGATTGCTTTTTCCATCAGTAATCGCTAACAAGACATCGGGCATATTCTTTCTCCTTTCACCTTGTTTAGAAAATAACACTTCTCGAGTCTCTTTGAGTCCCAGGTCCATCCGCGTAGACCCACCGTCATAATCCATTTTCCTCACGATCGACTTAATTATTTCGACGTTTTGCCGAGACGTGAATGAAATCTCTGTTCTTGCGCTAGAACTGAAACTAACCACACCAACGTTTGTGTCTGAAAAGAACACAAAGAAGTGGCCGTAATAACGAGGTGACCGTAAGGGGGTGGGGTTCCACTGTGTATTAAGGGTAAAATTGAACCGCAACATACAAACACAAGAAAAACCTAATGGAGTCATCTCGTGAGGACAAGTTTTGTAGGGATACTATGTCTCCTCGTATGAACAGTACATGATTTTATCTCTGCTGCATATGTCATAATGTCAACAACATGATTCCTCGTGAATACCTCACAGTTTAGGGACGTTGAAAGCAAACTGATTTAAATGGATAGAATTGCAATCATCTTAGTTCTTCTTTAATTACCTGTGGGCGAAATGTGAAAACAATCAATAACTTCGTTGATAAATGTTTTCATATCTTGGTAGCTGACATTACCAATACTGCCTGATGAGTCTAACAAGAAAGCAATATCCAGTGCAAAGGGACAAACTGAAACAAAACACATAAGAATGAAATTTTATTCTGAGTTGTGGAAATTAATTATACTACTATAAAACAAAATGTTTGATCTATTAACATAGAGGCAATTGATATTGTAAATTGTTTTATTTATTTTTTGTATGTTAAACTTTTGATATTGACGCTGAAGGCCCTTCATCTGCTTAAACAGTGTTTTCTTGGCGACCTTTATGATGGGCAATAAGCTTCAGCATTTTCGAATTGTCAATTTCAGAAATGCTTTCCAAATTTCATCTGAAACTTAGGAGAAATTCATTGATGTGAAAAGTGATCTAAAGATTTAAAAACTTTTTTAAAACTGGCTCATTGGATAACGCAATTTAAGCGTTTTTATCGCCTTAGCCATCACGGTATATGAGCCATTATACCATGCCCTACAAATATGGATCAATATGATAAGCGTGCGCGTAATTGTTTTGGGCGTTTTTATTTTCATTTATTTTGGGGGCGTTTTCAATGAAAGAATTATTCCACTCACGCTTGTTGGATATGAGACTGATGATTATAGCCAACGAGGCGCGTAGGTATCTGTCATCTCATATCCAACACGCGCTCGTGGAATAATTTTTAAAAGCTGATCAGCATAGTGACTGAGCGATCAAAAGGCCGTATGAGTTGAAAAAAAAAGTGTTCATTAAAATTGTTGATTCTTACCTGCAGCAGATGTGTTCATAAACGTTACTTGAAGCTGGTAAAGAGAAAAGAGAAAACAAGTGGCAAAAATAAATAAATAATAAAAAAAAAAATGACTGGTGTAATTGTTGTTTCTGGCTTCAGTTGCCTTAAAGACTTGTCCCTGGTAGTCATTACGCTCTAATCTGCGATCAGACGTTCTTTTTTCGGCGAGACATGTGCCACAGACATGGGTCTCAATCCGCAGAGCGAAATTAATAATAACGGAAATGAAAGTTCCTCATGAAAACAGTGATAAATCCGAAAACTGGGCAATAGAACCAACCTAAGATTAAAAAAAAAAATAGTTGTTGATGGTCTCTTCAAACCGCTGAGTTTATGAATGGTAAATGCGGATGACTTTGATGTTTTTTTAGAGAGAGAAAAATACCCAACGAAAGAGGCTGTCGAGTTTATAAGAAAACCTAACTGGACCTGACTGGAGATGCGCGCGGGAGTTGAGTAAATGTAAATCAAAATCTAAAAATCAGCAAAGCTGATCGAACAACATGCTTAGCTTTTTGTGTGTTTTTCAAAGCTCCATTGGAGTGAACAGTTTGCACTCTAAAGAGTAATCGAATTGGTTCTACTGCTGTGTAGTTTTGGGACCGCTCAAAAACCAAATAGTCGTCTTAAAGGTTGTCTGATCACTGAAAGTAGCAAATTACTTTTTTCAGCAACAACTTTTTTTCACTATCTGTAACAAAAGATGCAATGATAAGTTATATTATCTTCTGATGAGATCTCCAAATTTCACTCGCTCGAAACTGCTAAAGAATTTTTCTAGAAAATATAAACGAACGTCTCTGAAATATCATCTAAGTTGTTTGATTAAGGATCGAAGTGGCTTAGTTTTCTTACCACTGACCTGCAAAAGGAAGAGTGCTTTTTTCAAAGTCGCTTTAAATATGTCCATTTTGCATCCCGCTGTTTTGGTGCAAGGCCTTCGATATTGTTGCATTGTTATTTGAACTGCTCGATGGACGCGAAGCAAAGTCGAATAAACACATTAGTGCGTTTCCTTTGTATTGATATGCTGCAGTGTAATTCAGCTGCTTAAAATCAATAAAAATCATAAAAGCAATTTGAAAAGGTGCGATTTCGAAGTGATTTGTACGTCAAAACCTGATTGCAGGGATGTCAATTTCACATAGACAATTCATTTACCTTTTTATGACGTATCAAACCCATTCCTTCACACGACATTGCTTGTAATCGAGGCTGTTATGTAATGTAATTTTCAAGATGGCGGTCGCGCTGTGGAGAGGTAAGTGGTTTTGCGTTCGTTGGTTTTTGCAAGCCTGCAAATAATTTTTGTATATGGGCAGGTCATTTGTCAGGACAAGGACAAGTTTTGACTTGACAAAAAGCCAGTCTGGTCGGACAAAAAAAATGTTTGTCGTTAGAAATTAAAAAGAGATATTTGAGACGTTTTGATATTTCAGTGTAGACTCTTCGCCAAAATATGGGTTGCAAATTTGAAAAGCTTAAAAAGTCACACAAGCGTTTCCAACGTAACAAGTTTCCCACAGCGTCTAAGGAAAACGGGAAAAGCGATGAAACACTCTCGCATGAACAGCTTGTCAGTATAAAACCTCACAATAACATTCAGAGACTTGAAAATTGGCTGAAATGAATTCTTCGACTTTTTCTGAAAGCAAGTTTCCTCTGAAAGTTTTCGGGGTCAATTGAATAAAAAATTTGCGTAATTATTTAAAATGTGGAATTGGAGGTGTTCGTGACTATAAAGCATGACTAATTTGTACATTCACACTTTTCACAAAAACATGTCTGTGGTACGGAATCTATATTTCAACTACACTGACAGACGTAAAAAAAACTATAAAGAGTTAAAATTTAAACCGATTTTTGATAATACGGACTAGAAAAATACTTGGTTACATTTTAGAGGTTTTAAAGTTTTTGAAAGCGATTGCATTCAGATAAACAAAACGTGAGTATTTGGGCTGTGTATTCAATTTCCATAATATTTTCATCGGGTCAATGTATTACAACTGGAAATTAATGCCACAACAAATGGTGGTAACAAACAACAAGTAATTACATAAGACCTCAGTTTTTAGTAGTTAGACGAACGTAATTCAGACTAAATGGGGCTTCACAATCTTTCACAACGCCACCGCAAAATGCATAAATTAACAAGTAGGAATAGTGGTGCTGATGTGATGTGTTTACAATTCGACATAACATTTGAGACGATGCACTGTGCGTGATAAAATTCTCAGAATTGGAATAAAAACAAAACCGATAACAAAGCTTTTTTGCATAGTATTGTGTGGCAGTATAACAAAATAACTTGTCCCACATTCGGCCACAGATTTTCAGTGAAAATATTTTTCACTTTAGTTGAAATGCCCGGTCAGAGTGTCCGACCAGGCTAAGCTTTTACCTGTCAAAACCTTAAATTTACCGGACAATTGTCCGATGACCAACTGTTATTTGCAGGCTTGTTTTTGGGTTTTAAAATGTGCTCCAATTTCCCACGATTACAAAATTTAATATTTGGTTGCTACTGTAATAATTTAGGTATTAATACTGAACTTTGATTCTGCTATTGGTGATTTAGTCGATGTTTTGTCTGGTCTATGTGATCTGCTCTATATCAGTAAGATTTAATGTGTTTCGTATGTTCATACAGGCTAGTTTAGTTAAGTTACTGACCACTTATTTAGGTATGTTTTCCTCTCCTTTTGCTTATGTTATGTTTTTAACCACAGTTCGAATGCCTTAAAGCCAGATATCACGCGATATTTCAGCTTTCTGGTGCCTTCTTGGCATAGGAAGAGAGAGACATCAAAACACTACTAACATATCAAACAAATTTTGATGCATATATAACAAACCCATGTCAGTGAGGCACAGGCAAGTAGATGTTATTGAAAACCTCGCGAATGGCCAGTGTTTTGAATCGCAATTTGTCATGTGTAACTTTTAATCTGTTTAAAACTGGTCAAAAACCATTACTTTTTAAAATTAATTTGTCCCTGACCTTGGAAGGTGACTGATTAAGTGATAGAGCCATTAGAGCAGAGGTTACATCTGGTTTCTCAATGATTTGAAAGAGAAGGGAATTTTGGTCGTGCAGGGTAGATGTTTGTAAACCATATCTCTAAAGTTTTTGTGGGTTTTGAAGGCTGTATTGTAGCTGTTAGGGCCTGAATACAGTGTTTGTTCTCTTCATTTGGAGAAATTAATCTATGGGCTTATGTTTGCTATCAAAATCTGGTATGATTACACAGCTTTAGAGAGCACTGTTTCAATCCCATACACCATTCATTGTAATTTTAGCAAAAGATGTCCTCAAGGCAATTCTCTTATCTGTATCTGAATCCCTGTTTGTCTATCATGCCAGGTCGCAGTGGCTTGCCAGCTTTAAGCCAGGGATTCTTGAACAGTGTAATGCTCTGGAGGGCAGGCCCACAAGGGTAAGTGTGGTATTGAAAGGTTATAGTTTAGAGGTCACATTTTTCCAAAGTTGAAGTACATTTCTTACATGCAGATACCCACAACCGAAGTGGCATGGTTTTGGCTTTCAGTGGCAGAATAAGTATATTTTAAATTATCCCAAATTCTCTACTTTACCTTTTGTATGACATGTTACCTCATCCCTGAAGTTTAAGTTGCTGGACCTTCCATGTTGTAACACAGTGTTTCATCACAGAATCAGAAATGTTTGGTTTTATTTGTTCTCTGCTTTGTGCGGGTCCAGAAAATATCCATACTCCCCCCACAGAAGGGATTGGAATTTCCCTGGGGGATGGGGGATTCTGTAAGACCAAAAAATTTAAAGAAATGTGTGAAGCTTTATTGGAATTTCCAGAGGGGTGGGGGGTCTGAGAAAAAATCCCTTCCATGGGGGAGGTATGGATATTTTCTGGAACTACACATTGGCAAAGAATCCATGCTCCTATTTGCTGGTAATTTTTTGATATATGTGAAATACAAAAATTCTATAAATTAGTTATTTTTTTCCATTGTGTATCCCCCTGTTGTCATTTGTACTGGAATAAAAATCAGTCAAACTTTCTTCTTTGTTTTTACTGAATTACGCTCAGTCATTCTCTATACACAGTGGAATACTTTTCTGTATTTCCACACTGACATGTACTGTACCTTACTTAGCTTTACACGGATGTTGCGGCATGATGTCCTAGAGCTCTCTCTTTGTGACAGCTAGTCCTCTTCAGCTTAAACTTGAAATCCCTCTGATGATCAGATTTTTATCATCTTTCTACAGACTAGTGGTTGTGAATAAAAAGCAGAGTATAACAACTGGTTTTTCTGCAAAGCCAAAAGGAAAGTTGGACAATGCTGCAGGTACATGTAGAGTTTTTGTTTGTTTTGAGTTTTTGGTATTGTATTAAATGCACTTCAATGCTATTTAACAAAGTTAACAACAAGGAGCTCAAGTCTTACCTTTGTGGTCAGCATTGTCTTGCTATGCACATGTGGCAGGATTCCTTGTGTTCTTGGACCAAAGGGCATTGAAGCAGTTTGCATGTAGTCAGCGTTTTCTTGAGCATTATCGTTTCTTGGGTGTGGAGGCTCCTCTCAGAAGCTGTTCCCCCCACCCACCACCCTGTTTCCCTCCCTTTTTTTCCCCACTGTTTTATCAATGTGTTGGGTGCCTGTTTTTCTCCTTCCGTGTGGGGGCCCATGGCTGGGTTGTTAGTATTTCAGTGATCCATCTAGAAAAAGGCAGCAGTGAGTCCAGGGACTCACGCAGCCAAAAACCTGTGAGTCCCACACACAGGAGTGTGAGTCCCACACTCATCATTATATGAGTTGCACCTATGAATAACACAATCAATTAAATGAGCTTTGTTTTTTGTTAGTTACTTTTTTTACCTTGGAGGGCCATCTTGTGTCCGAGGAGACCAGCATGCCAATTTAGAGTGGTGTTTAAAAGCTTCTTTACCCATTCCATTTGATTTCCTAGACTCCGAGCAGACTTTACAATACATATAATGTCCATTTTTCTCGTAGACCAGCCACAAATATGTTTTGAACCACGGCTCGAAAAATCTTCGTTCCTTAGATTTCGCAGATTTTGCTTGGGCTGATTCTTCATTGTCTTCATTCACTTTTGCATCATCCTCCTCTATTGCAGTTGCTGCTTCTTGCTCTTGATGTTTACTTGCTTCAGGCCGTTTTGCAAATAAGAGCTGTGTTTGCCCCTCCAGGGGCTTACGTTTTTTCTTCAGTCCCATATAATTGGAATAACAATGTCTACCTTACGAAAGCAAGCAGGAAGAGACAGAAAGCACGTGCATGGAATTGAAAACCATACACTTCTGTAAAATACCGCTGATCATGAAAATTGAGCCTTCAATGACCAGAACGTAATGGTGTTCGCTTTACGATCACGCGTTGCTTACTTTGATACATATTTTGAAATTTTTCATAAATAGAGAAGAAAAGTCATCAAGTCATGACCGTAATAGAGAGAGGGTAATTTTTTTGCGTCCAATGGAACACATCTGGGACTAAATTTGTGCGTCTTGTAGGAAAATTAGGAGTCTGAAACGCGGAACGTGCAGGTAGATGGATCACTGTATTTGCCAGACATGGGAGTGGTCACCATCTAGGAGCTGGCTTTCAATAGTGGAAACTCCTGGATGTCTGTGGCACTCAACCTTCATTTTGCAAGGCAGTTTTTAATGGGTTCAGTGTCAGAAAAACCTACATGTACATTGTACTTGTACATGTACATGTACTTGCAAGTATTTCAGAACAATGCACACTGGTGCCTCTTGATAAACGTTTCAATGAATCTGATTTGTCTTCACCTTTTAAAATTAAGTGCACATGTCCTTGGCTTGAGTACCCTGAAATTCCACTCTGACATTCTCCCAATGTACAAATAAAGTAAATTTAATCATTCTGGAGTTTTCCAGAAGAAAAATGCTTCTCACATTGACCCAAGATAATGCGAAAAACAAACAAAGAAACAAACAAACTGAAAAAAAATTGTTTTGTTCAACAATGATTGCATTTTTCATTCACAGCACTACAGTGTATGTCTGAAGTATTTCAGAAATGACCTTCCATCAGTAATGATACTGTCCATTTGGCAAATAGGGTTTTCATCGTTAAATCTTGTAATAAAAGTGACAAAATTAGTTGTGAAAGATCTTTAAATCATGGAATTATATGTAGCCATGCAAATGCCGGTGCAGGCTTAAGAGCGAGGAAAAATGTTTTTTGCTCTATTAGCTTTCGTAATCCAAATCCATGTCTTCTGAGATCTGAGTTAAATCCAGTCTCAGATGCAATAATCAGTACAACAGGTATGAAAGTACATATAACCTGTATATTTTACATGTGAAATATTGTTATGTACATGTAGTGTGACTCTACTAGTATAATTATACATGTTTTTGGTTGTGTTCTGCAGAATATGTTATTGCCAGAGTTGATGATGTAGTGAACTGGGCTCGCAGGGTAAGCTGTCAAAATCAACAGCACAAATTAGTAGATATATATGTAGTTTGCTATTGCTTACTAATTTTTTTTCAAAGGAACATATTTTTTGGATGAGAATTATGGTAATTTCGAGGCCCC